CACTCCATGAATCAGGCAATTTGAGTGGGAACGCACAAGAAGTTTGACCCTTTCTTGATTGGGATGTTCTCGAGATTGCAGAAGGATTTCCAAAAATCTTGAAACACCATTTGGAATTCCCTCCTCCTGTTGTTCTAGAGATGGTGGCCAAGATAGCGCGGGTAATTCATACCTATGATTTTTTTTCTTTAAGATATTTAGCAGCAAGTTTGATGATTATTTCCTTGTTTTTTTTATTGTCGTCGTTTCACTCAATCACCTTGTATTGATGATAATTTGAGGTGTTATGCCATAAATATTTACAAATTTGATGACATCTGCAAAGCAACTCTCTATTCTTTGCTTTAATTTACTTCTGTACCTTGTATTACCCATATGACCATCATCATATATTTTATGAACTTTCACCATAGATACTGTCTGATTCAGTGCAATTACAGTTTCTTCTAAATATGCCTTCACAGCTTCAAAATCACCCTGAGTTTCTCCACTAGTATTTGGGATATTATCATTACTTTCTCGTACGTATGAGGTGTAGAAAGCATCAAGAATCTGAAACTCTTTGGCAATTAGGTCAACACCTCTTATATGCAGCAAAAGGTCTTCGTCATTTACTTTCTCAGTCTGTTGTTTGATTTTTTTCCTCTGCTGCTTTTGTTCTCAGCAAGCAACAGGGCATGCTCTTTCCCTTAACTTTCTTTTTCATGCATTTGCAGAAGAAACAGTGCTTCGGAAATAGTGATGTTGTGTTTCCTAAACTTCTTTATCTACTTGTCCTTTGCTTAGTTACATCCTCTACACAACCCTCCTCCTTTTCTGCTGTAGAAATAAATAGGGTAAACTTTTTGTAACATGGAGTCATATGAACACCAGAAATACCAGTCTCAATTTCACTGGGAACAGTTGCACATTGCTCTGCATGCCAATTGTTGCCTCTCCATTTCTCTCGAAGTGTCTTAGCTTCATTTATCTTGTTGAATGTTTTTTCGTTCAAAGGCACAATTGTACTAGACTTAGCTTCTGAAGGGTAGTGGACGACACAATGTAATCTTTGAAATGTGATTTCATTTAATGAAATTGTGCCATAAACCTGTGTAACAATTTTAAAAAAAATAACATTGGCATACTACATACTTGTGTGTATGCTCCATCATAACGCAAGCTTAGTTTGTAAACTATTCGAAGGGAAATACAGTGTACAGCTTTATCAACTTTGTCCAAATAAGCAGTATTTATGGCTTTATCAACTTTGGCCAATTAAGTAGTATTTGATAGGTGAAACTTTGGCAATGGTAATGGAAAAAAGCAGGATAACAGGATTGCATATCATTCAAAATAAATTATGTCATACTTGTAAGAACCACATCACAGACCACATGCAAATTATGGGTCTGAGCTACCTACAAGAGCTACATACAAGACCACATGCACAGCATGGGTCTGAACAAGGCCAAGGGGACAGCCCACACATGCATAGGCATAGCCTAGACCTACATACATAGGCAATCAGGCCTACAATGAGCAACTACATCCTGACAATAACATACTGTTTTTTATTAGTCTTATTAGTAAAGGTTTCCTAAGGTTACATTTATCATAAATAAAACAAAATAAACATTTAACTCACCATAATATGCATTGTTGTTGAGAAAAAAGTTTCTAAACTTCCATCCAATCACATATGCTCAAAATGCTGCCATCTATGTCAATATTATGGAGACCCAAAAGGGTCATTCTAATTGATTTACAATATTAGAAGCACAAAAATATGTGAATTTTTAATTTTAACTACCTGTTAAAACCTTTACTTTGCATTTAATTGATGGCAAGATACATAATGTGCTATATATACCGTACTATGTGTTTGCAGGACCATATTGTAAAACAGCGGTAAAGATCTCGCCTGTATAATGTTATCCTGCCTAAATATGTTTTAAATAAATAAATAAAATATATAGGGCCTAATTATAAACTTTTGCTATAAAGGAATAAGACAACTTATCTGGTCATTTCAGAAAGCGCCCCCACTTCTGACCTTCTCAAAGGTTTCTTAACTAAATTTAGAAGTTTTTCAAAACAAGTCCATAATCTGGTCAAACTTATACATTAAAATGTATATTTGACCTACATATATATGGTTTTTTTCAATTTTGGCGGCCATTTTGAAAAGCGCACTCATGTGTTACCTCCTTTTACATGCTCGTTGAGAACTTTAGCTAGTCATAATTTACTCTCATCATTACATATACAAAATGTGCTCAATCATACCCCTTAAATGCTTATTTTACTCATGTATAGGCCTATGTATTATATTGGGTTTTGGCAGACATTTTGAAAAAAGTTCTCTCACGCAAAAGTTTTCAGGTTACAGGCCTTTTACCTCACATATTCTGATTCCCCATAAAAAAAAAAAAAACTGGTCTAAAAAAACCATATGAGAATTTCTACCTCTCCAAGTGACACCAATCTCAATTATAGCCCTGTCTAAGAGCAGTTAATGGAGGACATTAAGGGTATGTTCACACATACGGCGTAAGAATGGCGTAGCTTACGCCGGCATAAGCTAATCCACGGATTGAAATTCGCGTTCGCTATATTAATGCTGGTGTTAAACTATTAGTAGTATAGGCCTATGGGGGAATAATTTTTAGTTTTAAATAATGTACGGGTTCTTAACCGTAGTAAAATTAACAGTGCATCATTAAAACTTTTAAATCCGTGAATTGTTCGAAGTGAACTTATATGATTATTGTATTTTAAATGAACAATTTTACTTCTGA